TGCTTAATAACTTTACTTAAGGGGCCAAGTAAGGTTTACTTAGTAAAAAGTTGAGAAATAATTAAATGTTTTTTTGTAGTTTTGGTATTAATAATCTATGGAAAGAGTTGCTTTTTATCTATTTTTTGCATACATTGAATGTTATAATTGTAAGAGTATAATTACTATTAAAATTAATTTTAAAAATAATATTATTTTTGTTAATATATTTCATAATTTTTTGTATCTATAACCTGAAAAATTTAATATAATAAATAAAATTAAAGATTATATTAACACTTATATTCAACAAAATGTTTTTAATATTTATTAATTAATTAAGAATTAATATATAAAAAGATATAAGATTTTAATAATTAAACAAATATATTATTAGTGATTTAAAATAGAATATCGATCTTTAAAAGACAAGCTTATTTTAGTAAAAACATATCATAAAAATCAAAATCAGAAACTTTTTTTTTTTAATAAACATGCATTTGTTTTTGTAACAGCATTTATTAGTATTTTGTTACTAGACAAATTAATGAAATTTATAATAAATGTTATATATAACATAAATTAACTCAAATATAAATTGTATAGTGCTATAGTAATTATTGATAATTTAGATTTTTTAATCTTTTATTTATTATATTATTTAGTAAAAATTACAATATTACAGATAAAAGGTGTAGCATCTAGTAAAGTGATCAGATTGTCAACTTTTAAGAGGCAGGTCTAGAGTTCAAATCTTATAGATAATAAATTTTGAAAAATAGGTTTGTATTATAGTAACTGTCTCTGTCGATCAGTTAGATTAGTGTATCTATAATCTTCAGTTGCACTACCTTGAATAAGAGCTCAGAGCATTTATGCAAAGTGTAACATTATACCCACATAGAGGAATATTAATAACTAGTATTGCATAAGATTTTAATATAAACCTACAATAAAACCATTAGGTACAGAAAGTGAAGGAACTAAAAAGTTGAAAACCTACTTAAAAATCCTGAATAAGAAGGTAGCACAAAACTTTTGATGTGCTATTGGAATGATGGAAGCCCATAAAGCATCTTTAAAAAGATAGACAAATAAACCAAATAGCAAGATGTGTAAAGGAGTATATGACCAACCAGGTTGCTAAAATTACTAAAGAAAAAAGATACTAAGATATACTATACTGGGCTATCTAAATTGGAAGTTTAGAGAGTTCTATTAGTTCTGAGTAGCAGTTAGTAGAAGATGATAGAGAAGACTTCAGAAAGATAGATACTAGGATTTTAGATAAACCTTATAAGGGTAAAAGTAATTTAATGGTTAGTCCTGTCTGCAAGTGATGGTTTAGGCCAAAGTGATATTAGGTAAGCTATAAGTATAGAATACAGAATGCACTGGTAGGTTTAGTACAAAATTAAATATAACTTAGTAATTATGGAATATTTTCACTGGTTTACTGGAGTTGTTGGTAGGATGTGATGGATACAGAATCAGAGTGTTTAAATAAAGGTCCTACAGGTAGGTTCTAGGTATAACAACACTCTTTCTATGATTGCTTTTGTGCTGTTATGTTAACAGATGCTGGCCAATTAATACTATTAATAAAATCCTGAGTTGCATGTACTCATCTTAACATTTAAAAAAAAAACAATATTATAGATATTATTATAGTATAGTTTTTTGTATTAAAAGCAAAAGAATTAACTAATATAAGAATATTTTATACTGACAAAAATATATTACAAATTAATGCTACAAAAATATTTGGACTAATATAAAAATACAGTTGTATTTATAGCACATCAAATATACAATAAAACAAAAACTAATCTCATATACAAAAATGTAACTTATAAGATATAATTCTATTGAAACACATAAATAATATTCTATAATCCATTCTTATGACAACTACTTGTATGTAATATAATAATCAAATGAATGTAAATAATAATGCATTAAATTTAGGTCAATTAGCTAATAAAAAACTTGTACACAAATAAGATATTTAATAACAAACTATTTTAATTAACATATGCTTATACCTAAAGAAAATAAAACATTTATAAATAATGGAAATGCAATATGGTTTGAATGTATTACAAAAATATATACATACTGTCATAATAATAATTTAATTATAGTGTGAACATATTTCTAATATAAATGCTATTCTAAGAAGCAATAGTGTCTTTGAACATGATCATTATTTGATAATATTAAAATTCTATATACTACAATAGTGATTAAATCTTATTGGTAATTTTTAAAATAAAACTATTTTTATAAATTTAAACATCTTTATTTGGATTTTCTTTGTTTTATTATTATAAAAAAGGTATATAAAACTATATATTTATTTATGTTTTTTTAAATTATTTTTTTTTAATTTATATTATAATTTAAGCAGTTATTCATCAAATTGATACCTTTAAATTATTGTATCACAGACAGCAGCTTACTTCTTGGCAAAAAGAATTTCAAAAAGAATAGAATTTATTAGCATTTTGACATTGTAACTTTGTTAATATTTAATAAATTATAAATACTAATTTTGTTTATATTTTTACTTTGTAATAAACTGATTCTTTTTATATAAACATTTGATTGTTTTAATTGGTTTAAAACCACATTTATTTTTTTATAATGTATCACTTATATATATTTTTTATATCAATAAATCTAAATTTCTTAAGTTAACTTTATTTATATATTTAGCACAGATTGAATAAAGAAATATCAGTGCCATATCAGCATTTTTTAGACCTAAAATTAGACTGATATTAGTTAAAATTTGACTAGAATTAGAAACCTATAGGATAAAAATTAGTGTCATATTAGCTTTAAGCAATATTGGTAAGCTGATAGCTCCATAAATAAATTGATAGTACTATTGATCAATTGATTAATAGCTATTGATTAATTGATTAATAACACTATCAATTTATCTATAGAGCTATCAGCTTACCAATATTACTTAAAGCTAATATGACACTGATTGTTATCCTATAGGTTCCTGATTCTAATTAAATTTTAACTAATATCAGTCTAATATCAGGTCTAAAAAATGCCAATATGACACTGATATTTCTTTGTTTGACCTATGTAGGTCTGTCATAATTTGACATATCTTCTAATCTCAATATCACAAATAATCTCTGACAAGAAATACAAAAATACTGCAATCTTGAAGATAATTATAAACCTCTAACAATAAATAATAATTCTATTACCAGCATTAATGAAATCCCTATAACAAATAATAACAAGTGAAATAAATAATGGGTCTGTAGACATAATCGAACAAAAACATAATCAATTATATCAGATTCTAAATGAGGTAAAAATTTTTATAATTATTTAATATTATATTCTTAAATAATAATATTTATATTGGTATTTAAGCACAATGCATTCTTAATGAGTTGAAGGTCTTCATAATCAGCAGAAGTTTCTTGATAACATGGAAGAAAAGTTAATTTCTCTTAACAAATTAGTTGAAGATATTTTGCACCATGAGAAACGACGCACATTACCACGAACGTGGAAAGATAGTAATATGAATACACAATATTATGGATGAAAACTTCGTGTATAAATGTAATAGTTTATATCTTCGTAAAATTATAATAATAAAGCTTATAACTTTATTGCAATAAATAAATAAAATATATTCGATATATTTTTGTGAAATGTACTGTCACCGTTAAATATATTTGATATATTTTCGTGAAATGCACTATCACTATTAAATAAATTAATTTTTTATATACTTCGATAATAAATTAATTTTTTATATACTTCGATAATAAATTAATTTTTTTTATATACTTCGATAATAAATTTTTTTATATACTTTGATAATAAATTAATTTTTTATATACTTCGATAATAAATTAATTTTTTTATATACTTCATTATTTATCGGTGATAAATTAATTTTTTTTATATACTGTACTTCAATATTTATCGATCACATAATTGGTCGGTACATCATGTGACTGCCCCTCAAGTGTTGGTTATGCTGGTGCTTTTGAGAACACCCTTAGAGAGTATTCGGAACTTAAAATTGTAAATATAGCTTATTTCAAAAAATTACGTCATCTAGTTCATTAAAATGGATCCTTAAATTTAAACCACAGATAAGTTGAATTTTGTGTTGGTGTTGTGGTATGTCTCAAGGAGTTGTGCTAATAAAAAAAGATAATCTATGCACCGCAGGAAATAATTAAGCATTGTGCTATAACTATAAAATTCTTTTTAGCTAAATGAATCGTTTATGTAGTCTTTAAATTATGCATTCTTAGCATTTCAGCTATATATTTATTAGTATAACAAAAATAATTTTTAAAAAAAACTTTTTAATTTTCGGGAGGGAAAATGCTCAAAGTGCAAATTTCATGTTTCATGAAATAAAAATCACATGAAATCAAAAAACTTATTTACGGCAAGAGGTTGTTCGTAATGTAGTGATTGTATAAAGTGAACGATCAAGTTTTCCTACTCCACGAGGGACGCATTTACTTAACGAATCTTTATCCATTAATAAAGTCGTGTATATCATGATGTGAAATTAACGCACATTCTATTAGATATGTTTTGCTCTGAATAATTATCGCGTCCGTGTATAATTAAACATTTATTGATTTAGTAGAAGCGAAAATTTTGTTACAAACTAATAAATTTAGTTGTAGAAATCACAAATGTTTTTGACTTAGTAAAATAATAGATAATAAAATTCTGTAAATTCTGCAAGTCCTACAAATTCTGTAATTTCCACAAATTCATTAAATTCGATCAATTCTTGAAAATCGAAATTCTGTAATTTCCACAAATTCATTAAATTCGGTCAATTCTGACAACCAAATATAATCAAGTTATAAAATATAAAAAGGTAGCAGTAAATACCGATACCCCCTTCTTAATTCTTACAAGTTTTTTACCTGTCGTTAAATAACTACTTCATAGTCAACAAACTTATAGACAAAGTAATCGATAAACACCTTAATACTTCATTCAAAATGCTAATTTCAGAAAAGAAAAATTATTACAATATTGCTCGTGAAGATTTAGAAAAACTAAACGGGGATATTTCTGTGGAGGAAGATATAAAACTATCTCAAGCTCAGAGGAAGATAAAAGTCATATTTCGGAGATTGAAAAGGGCAAGAAAATTAAACCGAATTCATACTCTTGTTTACGCTTTCTATCTTGGTGAAATTCTGGAAAATGCATGTGTTAAAAAAAAATACAATAATAAAGGTCCGTCAAGATACTATGCTGAAGTGTCAGTGAGAGTATATTATCTTTTTCAGAAGGCTGGAGTTAAACGAATTTATCAAACGACCAAACTGACTTTAGCAATGATCTCCAAATTGACAGCCGGAGAATTTCAACAACTGGTAGATGCCAATAACGATAACAACGATGATAGTGAAGACGAACAATCTCAGGACAACGATGACACTGTAGAAGAATTATCACAAAATAAAGTTATTGAAAATGGACCATTTCAAAATACTGGCCTCACACAAATTGCCACCAACCTTTCTCAAGACACTACGCAGCAACCAATTTTAATTACCGTCGATCAACATAACGATAACTATCAACTTAGTTTTCATCCAAATATCGACTATCAATCGTTTCAAGGTTACTCTGGTTACTCTACTATCGGTAGACAACTGCAGAATGCTTTAGAATTCTCTAATATTGTTGATCAACAAATCTCTAATATTACTGACGTTTCTCAAGACTATACTACCGTTGATCAACCGACTCAAATTGGCACTAATTCTAATACTTTTCAACATACGACAGCTGATACTTTTCGACATGCGACAGTTAATACTTTTCGACACAAGGGACTTCAATGCAGTAAAAGTGTTACGTAAAATGATGTACTTGTTCTTATGTAACTTTAAAATAGTTTAGCTTATATTTAGATAATGATCGAATCTATACTTTGACGATCATTTTATAGTTAGAGTCTAATAGCATAATAATTAGTTAGAGTCTAATAGTTAAGAAGAAGAGTAGTTTCTCTTGTCTTTGTGTATTGAAGTAAATTATGGGTTTTGTATTTAATGCTTGCGGCACTGAGTTAAATCTGGTTGGAAAAATAGAAGCTCTCCCTTGCCGTGACATTTTTGGTGCCAGTTGTGTGCATTGAATAATTGGAGCAGAAAACGAATTCATTTTGTCATAATTAGTAGTGATATGAACAAAAGATTAAATAAAAACACAAAACAAAACAAAAGCCAAATTTCGGATTTTGTTAAATAACAAATTTAAAAATTTCATAATAATAATAATAATACAATAAATATAATCAAATAATTAGAAAACATTATGAACCTCTGAGACAATACTCTGATCTCTATGAACAATAATAAAATGGAAGATTGTGATAAGCCTGAAAGCAATAATAATCTATTCGATTCATGCAAATCTATCATGAAAACAGTTATTTCAAACAATGGCAAACATTTTAGTAAGGTAACAAGGATTTCAAATGAGCACAATAAAATGCAATCTTGTGAATATACCAGTTTTTTCTAAAGGCAATTAAGATTCTATTAAATAGTTGAAAACAGTCAACAAAATCTTTGAAGCTAATAATATCATAGAACAAGAAGGTTAGTTGTTATAGGTACTTACCTTTCAGGTTTAACTACATTTTAGTAGAAAAATCAAAGAACCAAAAGATCAAATATTTATAGAGTTGGGATAATAAATATACTTCTGATTAAAGTTTTGTATATCAATTTCAGTTCAATTTTTGTATCTCAGTCTTAATAACTCAGTAGAATACTGAACTGTTAATAAAATAATAATATATTGAAGAAACAATAGATAAATATATGAATAATATGTTAATGTTATTTTAATAAATAATGAACGTAGGTAATTAATACTCTAAAGTAATTAAATTTCAAATGTTTGTATAAGTTCTTCATTTGGATTTGTTTTTGGTTTTGAACTTTTTATATTCAATATATTATAAAAAATGATTAATAAGACTCAAATGTGTAAAATGATCTTTATGTATAAACTAGTTATATATAGACTTGTAGCAATATATAATATTATATCTGATAGTATTACAATTTTTTAATTATCATCTGTGTAATCTCAAATACTTGTGACAATATATTCTGAAAATCTTTAATTATCAACTAATATCTTGAATAATACCAATAATACTATAGAACAAATAATTTTTTTATTACAAAAATAGTAATAATAGTAAATAATAATAATTTTTTTTTTTTTTTGGTATTAAGGTGAGGCCTTGCTCATATCTTTATTAGTAATTTTAGTTGTACATATTAA